CATTGTCAAAATGCACTGGTGCCTGATTTCTTTCCATGTAATTATTTCTCTAGGACTTTAACATTTCCCTTTTTCAAGATGCTTTCATTAAAATGTAAATAAATACCTAACACAGAGGCCAGTGATTCCCCAGGTGCCTTTAACCACCGATTTTTTTTTTTTAAGTTTTGTTGTTGTTCAAAATAGTTTGAGAAATACTGGCTTAAACAAAATCATTCAGGTTTCTCTGAAGATGTCTACTTTGAACATGTATATAATAAAACACTAAACTGCACAATGCGATTTATTTGGCTATGGAACATTCTATTCAACTAATGTTGCATATAACATAATTTAGGAAATGTGCTCTAAAAATTGGTCAGTGCTGATCTTGTGTTGAAATTAAATTGCTAGGGCATTACCAACTAAATCTGCATGCTGAAATCAAGGTCCTGAGAAAACCAAAGAAGAATCTGATGCATCCAGGCACAGGGCATTAATTGATAATACAGAAAAGAACACTGTAGGATTAAGCACTGCATGCTAAAGGGAATATATGCACTGAGGTATATAGGAATGGCATTTCAGCCAACTCTATATAACTGAAAAACAGGAAAAGAAATTTTAGAATTGTAGAACAATGGGCAGACAAGTTTTGATGGATAGAGCATAAAGAAACCAAGTTTCTTACAGTCTCATGTAATCATGACTCTATCTGCCCAGTTACCTTTGAGGATTTCACTGAGCCTCTCTGAATACATCGTCACATTATTTCTCAGGGTTCTCTGTAACACACTGGATTCCTCCTTTCCCCATTCCTTCCACTCAAATTCAGTAGACGGTCTTTAGGATTTAGGACAACCTGTCACATACATCCTAGCTAAACTCATATACTTGCCTGAGTTTTAACTATGGTTGTTTACAGGTTACTTTTAAATTTGTATCTTCAGCGCAGATCCCATCTCCTGAGATCCAGACCCATTTGTAGTTCTTCTAGAGACTTTATTTAGTTGTAGCAAAGCCCCAGAACTCAGTATACCTAAAGTCCAATTTATTGTGCTGCATCTCCTTAATCTCTTTGAGGGGTCCCACCATCCACCCATACACCTGAGGCATAAACTGAGGATCATTTGAATCCTATTTCTCCTTCATCTATGATAAATAAAATTCTAAGAATGATCACCTCAATGATGCTTACCTTTGCATAATCTCCTTTCCTCGAATTATCATTATAGTGAAATGTCATCATTTGTGTTAAGGACAAAACATTTTATGATGACATTAAGGTTACTAATTAGTTAACATTGCATTAATCAAATGAAAAATAATATCAGGGCAGAAATCAATGAAATAGAAATATAAAAATACTAAGAGTCCATAAAACGAAATACATAACAAACCCTTAGGCAAAGTAACAAAAAGAAAGAGAAAAGAACCAAGTTATTAACATCACAAATGAATGTAGAGACATTACAACAGATAAAATAAAATTGTGAAAATCATTATGTCATATCTTTTTAAAAAAAACTAACAGAAATAGATGGTTTCTACCTACATATAACTTACCAAAATTAAACCAAGATGAGGTATGCAATTTAAGCAGATCTATAACAAGCAACAAAACTGAAGCAGCAATAAAAGTTATCTCAAAATAAAAAAAAATTCCAGACCCAGACTTTGGTATACTAGACCTTTAAAAAAGAGCACCAAGGCTTTGGAAATCGTTACATACATTAGAATGTAATAAAGAAATGGTACAACTCTTTTTTTTATCAAGCCAGTATTACCTTTATACCAAAACCAGATAAAGATACAACAAAAAGAAAAGAGTAAGATAATATCCTTGGTGGAAATAGATGTAAAAATTTTGCCTTTTTCTTCTCAAAAAAAAAAAAACGGTACTGGAAAAATTACATATTTGTGAAAAGAAGAGGGTGAGGTAATGGGGGATGAATGTGATCAAATTGTAAATCATACATTCACAAAACTGTCATTATGAAACATATTTCTTGCAACCAAATAAAAACACCAATAAATGTTTGAAAATAAAACAAATACCGAAGCCTTATAGGATGCTAACCACCCACATCAACCAATCATCCTTATCCAGCACTGTGAGGCTTGGTGCTCCCACCCTTCCAATAGTTTGCCTGTTCTCTTGCTTTTGCTTGTGAATCTTCTGCTTTCTACCTCTTACATCAATCACATTGGGAAGCAAGTGAGGACAAAAATTACAAGTCAGAAAACCTCCTTTTATCATGGCACCTTAGATAACAAGAATGATCTGAGTATAATACTGATGCAAATACCATTTAGAAACCATCTTACAAAAGAAGAGATTAAAAGTGGTGCACTCAGAAGGCAGAGGCAGGAGGGTTTCTGAGATTTCTGAGGGTTTAGGACCAACTCAAACTCTAGGACTACGAAGAGAGACCCCATCTATTAAAAAAAACAACTTGAGGCTCAGAAAAGTGACATGATTGGCTCCACATCACATAACTAGTCACTAAAAAGTGAAAAGCTAGAATTGGAGGCTTCTTCCTAGTTGATAAATGTCAACGTGATTGTCACTATGGGAGATTATAACTTCAATCCAAATCTTTGATTGAATTAACCAATTTCTGTCTCTATCACAGTCCATTGAGCATCCCTTTTGTTTCTATACTTACACACCATCATCATATCCTGGTATGGTATTGCAGCATATTTTGTAACATCTTCCCTAAAGAAATGGTCACTGATGCTTGAAGGCATTGGAGAGGACTTCCCATTAAGTGTGACCTTTGGAGAGATGCTTGTTTATTTAAGATCTGTACGTTACCTTTTATACATTATCAGGAGTAGTCAAGAATGCCAAGGAATGATCCATCTTCACACAGTACTGGAAACCCATACTAAGAATAGTAGAGGTTAACTAGACAAAGAGCACTAACACTTATTAAGAGAGATGTAAATACCAAGAAATTTATTTGATCATGAACTGACTGCAAATGTGAAGGGCTAAGCTTTGTTTTTTTTTTTATATGATGTTTGAGTGTGGGTATGTGCCTGTGAATACTTGCGGTATGTGTGTGAATATTTGTGATGTGTGTGAATACTTGTAATATGTGTGCCTATATGAGCGAATGCTTGTTGGGGTATGTGTTTGTATGTGTGTGAATGTTTGGGGTGTGTTTGTGTACATGTGTGTGAATGTTTATGGTATGTGTGGGTGGGCAGGTGAATACTTAAAGTGAATGTGCTTGTGTGTGTGTGAATGATGTGAGTGTGTGTTTGTGTGTGTGTGTTCCTGCATATGCAAATTCTTGGGTATATGTGAATGCTTGTGATGCATGTCTGAATATTTGTGATATGTGAACGCTTGTGCTGTATGTGAATGCTTGTGCTGTGTGTGAACACTTGTGTTATATGTGTGAATTCTTGTAGTGTGTGTATGAAATGCTGTGGTGTATGTAAATGCCTGTGGCATGTGGTTGTATGTGTGTGGTGTAAAAGAGAGAGAGAGAAAATGCAAATGGAGTATGTAGGGGGCACATGTGCCCATGTTCATGTAGAGGACAGAAGAAGATCATGGGTAGCATGCTCTACCATCCTCTGCCTATTCCCCTGAGACAGTCTCTCAGTGATCTAGACCTCTTGGAGCACACAAAAAAAATAAGTAGAAAGAAGACAAATTCATCAAAATTTCTAAGTGCATAGCATATAAATGACTTTTCCTGCAACTTGAAATCCTGTAGTGTGCAATATATATCAGTGCAATATATATATATATATATATATATATATATATATATATATATATATAGAGAGAGAGAGAGAGAGAGAGAGAGAGAGGCAGACTTCAGCATTTAAATACCCAACAGTAATTTTAATAGATAGAAATCTATATTTTGAAACTCTACAATTGTTCAGTTATGGAAGATATTTTAAGAGGTAGGATAGTGGACTGTTAATAATCCTCACTTGTCTTCTAGATGAGTAACTGAAATGATTTTTTGAACAAATAGAACTAGTCACTGTTACAATTCTCTTAGAACATTTTTGTTAAATATTTACAGATATCTATATTCAAGAGAACAGTGCATCTGTCTTATGGAGATGCCTGGCTGCATTCTTTACCAGATACTAATATAGGTGGCACTTCAGCAGTGTAACCAGTGACATGAAGAACCTGATTTGGAGGGGAACAGATGGCAGCATCTTTCTTGGGCTAATTTTAGAATCCTGAAATAGTTCCTATCTCACACAAACCATCCATGGAACCAAATTAAAACAGCTATGTTACATGGAAAAGGGAGAGAAATATATATCTTAGAGTAAGACAAATACAAGGCCCCGCAAGTTTCAGTGTGTTCCCATTTTCTGTCTCCTTTCATATAAGTTATAGGGTCACTTCAACTCCCTTTCATCCAAATGGATGTGGAATACCCACATGGGAGTATCTTTAAAAATGAGTGGAAGAAATCATATTTTTAGTTATGTATATAAAATGATCAAGATTGCATCATGATATATATCAACTTGTAAAACCTTGTTTTAAAAACATTTTTTTCTTAGCAAATAAAAATCTGGGGTCTTACTGACCACTATGCCTCATAAATCAAAATCAAAAGTAAAATGAATTTCAAAAAGCCAATTTCTGATTCATTGCTTTGTCTATTGAGATCTTTCTCCCAAATGAGATAAAGAGTATTAGTTCAGGATGAAGGGATATGAAAGGAGAGATCCTCAACCATGTGTAATGGTTTAAGGTATAAAATGAGCATCTAAAACAGGGGTTCGCATCCAATATAAAGCTGCTTTAATATAGTCCCTCATGTTGTGCTGACCCTCCCCAGCCATAAAAGTATTTTCATTGCTACTTTATAAATACAGTCTTGCTACTGCTATGAACAATAATGAAAATATCTGTGTTTTCCAATGGTCTTAGCCAACACCTGTTGAAGGGTCGTGGCCCACAGGTTGAGAACCGCTCATCTACAGTGGGGAAAATGAGAAAAGTACTTTGTACAGGCACTGACCTGCTTTCCATCAAGGGTATAGAGTTTCTTGACGACGCCAGTTTCCAGTTTGATCGCCTCTGTGATGTCAGTGAGGACCTGCTCGAAAGAGTGGGCTGTTTTCTTGTTGAGAAGCACCCGCACTGCCTTCCGAGGCTTCACCCCGCTGCGGATGATGGTCACAAGCTTGGGGCGCACAAAGTCCTTGTTCTCTCTGGCCTGAGCACTGTTGCTGCTAGCCAAGGACTGGGGAGCTTTCATGTTGGCAGATGTTTTTACGTTGACAGACCAGTTGGGATTGACATTCTTGGTGTACTCAACCTTTTTAAAGAAGTTGTCTGAGGAACAGACATAGCTTTCCCCTAAGGGAAGAAATAAATGGTTAGGTGATTAATTCAGGAGCAGATAGGCCGATGAAAATCAAGCTACTATACACTCACATCAAAATAAAGCTTTGGGTGAAATGTTGAGATAATAACCAACCTTATATCCAGGTTGACCCTCCGACAACTTGATTTCCTCAAATTCAAAAGTAATCAGCTAAACATTCTTCACTTTAAAGGCATATCTAGTTGAAGAACCTTGTAAATCTAAGTGTTATGAAAACAGCAAACACCTCCACGTATGATTAAATACAATCAGCATGATGCTATCGGAGTGTAAATGCTTGGCCCTTTAGAAGCTGCTCATTAGCTTCCACGTACCACTGGAGCATGTTGAACACGTCTCTGTGTCCTGATCTTCCTATGCTACGTTTGTACTCAGAGTCTCTTCCTTTTGCTATATTATGAACCAAGGAAAAATTTTAAAGCTAATTTGTTTTTATTTCAAACTGAAGTGAACTAAGCAAGCTTACATATCAGACATTCAGTACACACTTGGTTAAGAGCCAAATTATCTTTTGCACAAACTATTGTGCTAAACGGTAGAACGATCTAAATGTAAAGGGTGTGTTTATGTGTATGTGTGTGCGTGTGTGTGTGTGTGCATGAGTTTAATGTCTAAATGTGTGTATAAGTATGTAACCTACTGCTTATCCCTCTCCCAATGAAGAAAGTATCTAAATAAGCTACATGCGCACACACACACGCACGCACACAGCTTTCTTAGTGTTTGCAAGTCTAGCTCTTCCTTAGAAAATGTGCTTTCCTATAACTACTACTCCCTTTCACCTTTCTCCATTCTCCTAAATATTGCACATTATATCTGTGTATTTGATGCCATCTCCATCAGTTGCTTTTTGTTGCCACACTGGTGAGAGGGAGACTGCATTATGCAGCTTGATTGAATTGAAAAGGTCTAGTATGAGTTTTACACTTATTCTGGGCTGGGGGAAGTGACTAATACAGTAGAAGAAATGCAGTGGCCAGAGGCAAGAAGGGGAGATTAGATGCTTGGGACTAGAAACTGAAGAAAATTAGGAGAGAGTTATGCTCTGCCTACGGGAGGACTATATTGGAAAAAAAGCAGAAATTGCTGAGTAAAGCACATTAGCCTCGAGGTATACAGAAGTTCATCCAGAGGTTGAACTGCAGAAACAGTGATTTTATCAGGCTTTATGTCATCAGTAATAAAACTAAATACATAGACAAATATATAACCCTTAGCCAGCCCAAAAAGAATTAAACACAATTAAAGTCGGATTGCTCTTCTACTTCCTTTGGTCTCAGCAGAATTACATAGAGATATTCAGAAATAACAGGCTGACAATTCATTCTCTTTGCAAATATTGATTGCACCAAATCCTTTAAGTCATGTAAATTAATACGTTTCTCAGTTAGTACTAAGACTCAGTGGTAATCTCTAGGGTAGTTTTGAGGGGAAGAGTATGTGTGTAGGTGGAGAGTAACACACAAGAATGCTTAATCTCTCTTATGATCTGTTACAGTAGGGGAACCAAGAGAGACTGATCAAGGGCAATCAAAGGCACTTGACCTACTTGGTGCGCATGTGCTCAGTCAGGATGGAAGTTGAGTTTCCAAGCTAAGAGTCCCTGACTTTGTTGGCCTCAATGGCATGCAAATCCAGCACAACACCAGTGCTTAGAAGCTAGGATCTGTAAAATGTGACACACAGATAAAGGGGCCCTTTTGATTCCTCTATATATTCACAGCCAACATCCTCCCCCACCACATACACTAGAAATGGCCTCTTGCCTCTGCTCTTCATCATATTCATGAGCATCTTCCAAGAGGTCGCTGCCTTTGAGTCAGATGTTTTCCATTACTTTCCATAGACTTTCAAACTCTGTCAGACAACTGGTGGAGTGGAAACATCCAGGGCTTTATATTTATGATTTAACTCATGTGCAAACTCTTCTGAGGAGGCAGCTGTGTTGCCCTATTAGGGGGCTCTGGTCTTTTTTTTTTTTACTCCCCCTCTGAAACCTCTAAGCCTCTGAACTACAAGTATGATTAACTACCCCCAGATGAAAATGAATATGATGGCAAATAATTACAGTATCATATGGCACCCGAGAACTTTCCACGGGGTTCTGCCCTAAGCCAAATCTATGTTGAGCACCTTCTGAGGGTACATTTTAATCACTCCCCTCTCTACTTTTGGCCTGAACGCATAGCAGTGGAAAAAGAACAGCTGCTATGATGTCAGTCAGATTGCGATCCCCAACACTTTCTAGTTGTGTGACCTTTGGCAAATTACCTGACTCCCTTGGCAGCAGTCTCTTGTCTGCAAGGTGGGGGGTGTTAATAATAAGCCCGACCTTATAGGGTTGCTGTGGGCACAAGTCCAGGGGTGGATGAAAAGTGCTGAGCTCAGATACTGGAGCATAGTAAGCACTCTGTAAATTCTCATTATTATCATTAAGGCCCTTGTCTAAAGGGACGAATAACTAGGAGGAAATGGGAAAGAGAAAGAGATAAAAGCTAAGAGAAAGGACACAGCGTGATGAGGAACCAAAGCTAAAGAAGAGCAAAGAAACTCATCAAGGGCAGCTGTCTATGACGTGAGATGTGCAGACTGTATAACATGAACATGTCTGGGGTCCTGTGCTTCAAAGATAGGATTGCCTGCTCTGCGTGTAATCGCCAGGCGCAGGAAACAGGAACAAAAGGATCTCTGTGAACTCGAGGCAGCCTGCTTCACAGAGTGAGTTCCTGACCAAAACAGGCCTACCTAGGGAAACCTTGCATATTAATTAATTAATTCACATTTCATGGTGCTAGAAAAGACTCTTGAAGTTGCAAATTACCAATGCAGCAGCTTTAGAGCGTGCACACAGCAAGGCCATTGCTGCCTGCTGCAGCTGCTAATACCCACTTAGGGCAAGACATTTATGATGATGAAGAACAGTGATTTAGCCAGGCAAGGTTATGCACATCTATAATGCCAGTACTTTAGGGAGAGAGGTAGGAGGGGGAAGGAGTTCAAGGTCATCCTCAGTCACGTGGCAAATGTGGCATTAGCTTGGGCTGCAGGAGACTGAAAGAAACAGCAAAAACACTAGTGCCTTATTAGTAGAGCATGGTTGTTCATGCTTGTAAATCTCAACCGTCAAGAGGATGAAGAAGATAGATTTTAAATCAAATCCCAGCCAGACTCTCAGGAGCCATATGACCTCAGGCATGTCATATAATCTCTCTAATTCTTGACTTCTTTATCTACAGAGTGAAGGCATTTCACATAGTGATAGCAGAGTCTCTTGTAAGCCTAAAGATGTATAAGAGGAAATTTCCATTCTGTTTTTATTCTCAAGCAGGCTTGAGGAAATAGTTATTGCTTTAATCAAATACAAAAACCTAGATGCCCATCTCCAAGGAACTTCTAGCTTCATTATTGGAAAGGTCTAGATGTGTTGCTTTGTTATAGATAAGATTGCCTGGTTCTGCAATATTTCCCAGGCCTATTTTGAGAGCCGGTGCTTCCTACATGGTTACTTAGCACTTGGAGCTGTGTGAGGCATATTGCCCCCTCCCATAGCTGAGTTTCCACCATGCCACAGCCTCCAGTGGTTAGTTTCTACCGTCTGGGAACCTAACAAAAAAGCTACTTCTGAGCTAAGCAAAGTGACAATTTGCTGGAATTCACCTGCTTTAGGATGAGGGGTAAGGGACATGAAATGGTGGAAACACAACTAAAAGGGTATAAAGGGAACAGGTATTATGTTCAAAATGATCCCATGAGAACCCTTCCTCACCTTTAGGAAGGCTCCTTTTCCAAAGAGTCATATACATTTATAATCTCTTAATGCAAAGACACTTTTTCCTGTACTTTCTATTCTTTTCTGGGGATCCCTAGCACAAGAAAGAAAATATTGATTGATACTTTATTGCATTATTACATTGAAATATTAAATGATAGCTTGTTGTATCATGATGCCCATGCATCACTCCTGAGTGTCTGAAAACCCCTGCTTTGGGTGATGCACTTGATTTAGTAATAAGACATTGGAACAAGTGCACTATGGAAAAGCAGCTGGACTATACAATGTCTATACTATAGAGCTCGAGGTATCCAAGGCTGTCCTACTTTTATGTATTCCTCCAATGTTATGAATAATTAACAGTGCTCAAATTTGTCTTAATACACAGAAATTGGCTAGTCACACATATAACCCTGAAATTGAGAAGTGTATATAAATATGGAAGTGAAGAAAAGATTAGATATGATGGAAATGAACAAGGCTTCTCTAATGAAAGATAGAGAAAAGGCAAACGAAAAAAATATAACTGATGAATCTCCTTCATTGACCATCTGGGGATACCGTTAATGAGGGCCACATCCTCTGTGGTTCTGCCAAGACCCCTGTTGTATACAAGAAGCTGTGGGAAAGGCTGACATGAAAAATGAGGTTTAGACTCAAAATGTTTCCCTTGCTGCTTCCCACATCCAGCGGCAGACAGTTGACTAGAGCCACCAGACAAAGGGAGTGTCGGGGCTACCATAAGGTCAGAGTGATTAGCATTTGCTCTTTGTTTTATCCAATTTTAGGCTAAATATTTAATATTTTGATCATTTGGAAACATGTTTTGTGTGAGCCATTCTTCTGAAGTCTACAAAGCAAAAAAGAACAGAAATGAGGATTTCTACAGCTAGGAACTCTGTATCACTGTTTTAATGGAAAGGACTCATCAAAATCACCTCATCTAACATGCTGCAAGTCATAATACTCAAAAGAATTTCTCAATAAAGAGTGCAAAAAAAATGAGTTTAGAGTCCCTAGACTTCAAGGTCCTGTTTCAGTTGATCTGTAATGTATTCCAGGGCCACTGTAGTCCAGACTGGCCTCGAACTCACAATCTTCCTGCCTCAGACTCTTGATACTTGGGTTACAAAGTGCGAACCACTGCACCAGACTAAAGCAATTATTTTTAAAAGAGAGAACATTAGTACCATTGATGATAGAGACAAGCCCATAGTCATATAATTAAGGAGGTTTAGGTTAGAGAGACTCAGACAGTAATAGCTACATATTGAGCATCACTGTGTATAAAGAAGAATGCAAAATGCTTCATATCATTTCTTAATTGATTCTCAAAGAATTTTTTTTTCATTTTATAGATTTAAAAAACTGAGACACAGGGTTTCTACTGATTTCCCCAAGTTTCTACAGGCTAGAAGCTATCAGATCTGCATCTGACATAAATCTCATTCCTAATATTTCATTATCCGTTGTAATCTGCTCCAAGATAAGAACCCAATATTCCTGATTCTTCACCAGGAATCTTTCCAAATATTCTCAATTTAAATCTTGACAGGAAACAGTATGAATTAATAATTTTGATCTTCTATCCATGTTCTTCTAGAAGTAACCAAGTACAGGGATTTCTGACCTTTTATCATAGATAAGTTACTCTGACAAAACAAGAGCAAAGAAAACCCTTTCCATGTCTTCCTCATCCCAGGGCCCTTCCCAAATTAGCTTTATGGCAGAGGAAAAATGATCACATTTGCAACACTCCCCCAGAAATACCTCTGGATTTCCTTGACATATGTCTGCAAGAGCACTGGCATCCACTGTCACTTGGGCTCGCAGAAGACAAGATGAGTACATTTATTTGATCCCTATGCAGATTTTATACTGTTTGGAAACACACCAGGAAATACCACAGCACCCAGAAGTGGTATATGGGTCCAATTTAGAAGGTACCAAGAGAACACAGGTGAGAATAAAGCTATGGTCTGTTTTTAAAATTCATACTAATCACCTACACAGATTAAATTGACATGGTTTATCATCAACTTTTCTCAATATACACTCACTAATACATACATACACATATACATGTATATGGAATATATATGGAAATATTTGTAAAAGGTTGATTGAGGCAAATCTGTGTGTAACATTGACATTAAAAATAACATTTTCACTCCTACTCAAAATACTATGTCTGGTTCATATTCTGGCCTAGCATGTATTATGACCTTTAAATGTGCTCAGACGATGAAAATTAAGACAAATTGGGAGATTCAGTGTGCTTTGTTTATAAAAGTTATTACAGAGAAATCCTTCAACTTTGACTGAGGTATAGATTTTCCAACAACCGAAGCACACCTTATCGATTACTCTGTTGGACAGCTCCCTTGGCTGAGCATCCAGATTTGAAGTTGACCCCAACTGCCCTTCTTTTATTTTAATATATGCATTAGAATGATTAACCTTTTGATGATCAGGAAAGCCTAGGATCAATGTTTGCCTACCCTCTCTGTATATGATCTAATCATCCTCCTTCATATGGATTTTCAAGATCAGCTATGTAGAAACCTCTTAAACTCAGACGAAGCCACTATGTGTATATTGTCTCTTATAAGTTGCTTACCCAAGTCACTTACAATTACACTTTGAAAACCACAACTACATGAGGGAAATAGAACCTCTGATAGGGAACACTTTCATGTCTCTTTGTGAAATCTCAACACAGTGAGGCAGAGGTGGGGTACTCCTACTAAGTCACCAAATATGCTGCTTCTTTTTCCTCATTGGCTATTTGTAATCTGGAATCCCTAGAGATCTGTTTGCACTGATTGACCTTTGCTCTGAGATTGAGGGCAGTGAGGGAGGAGGGAGCATTGAATAAAGTAGGAAAGACTGAAAGAACATTTTCATTGTCACTATTCCTCTGAGGCTACCCTTTAAAGTACCTGTGGGTCAAATTGGTTGCAATAGTTTCTATGACAATATAAAATGTTAACAATAAGACACAAGATCTATTTTCTAATACCCATAAAAATGAAAATATGCTTGAACAAGTTTTGTGAGGATCTGGTTTTTTTTATTCTGTTATCACATGGGTCCACAGTTGTCAAGGTTTTCAGCAGCCAACTCATAAATTTCAGTTGCAATTGCAAACTATAGAGAGGATCTGAAAGAATTTAGGTAGAGTGACTCATACCTACTCTAATAGAAATGGGATTCATTAAAATACCAGACATACCTACAGCTTTCTTTTGTATTTCTCCCAATGATCTCAGCCTCTCAGACACACCCTGAAGTGAGATTTTTAGAAGCAACAGCTGAGCAGCAACCACTTACCTAAAAGTCTAATCCTCTGCAAACACATCCAGGAGGTCCCGCATTTGGGAGATGTATTTCTAATGAGCAACCACTCCCAAACAATTCCTCAGTTGCTCACAGGAAATATGGACACAATTGTTTTATCTGTTAAACCAACCAAACATCCTTCCCCTAATGATTCCGTGGCCTGCTCTGATGGTGCTACACAGAGTTAATTAGAAACGAGATCTAGAGTGACTGTTGCGGTTCACATTTTCCTTTGTATACCCAAGCAGACAAGCACATTTAGCATTAGCACACCCGTGTACATTTCAACCTCAGCGGAGATGCAATCGCATGAAGAATGACAGCTAACTGTCCTGTTGGTGACTTTGGAATCAGAAACCTGAGCATCAGTCAACCTGATATTTTGGCAAACAAATAGCCTAGTTTCTTTCAAGGGAGACTAAAAATGTAACCATAAGCAAGAACATACTTTGTTTCCAGGAGCTGCCACCCACTGCTTAAATTACCTTCTTCCAGTTCATCCATGCTTCCGATCTTCCTGGACCCATCGATGGTGTAAATATAGCGCACTCCCTGAGGCAGGTTGATGTTGTCGGACAAGGATCGAGTCAGGTCAGCCAGCAACACGTCAAAACTACGGAAACGGTCAGAAGAAACAGCATACACAATCCCCTTGAAGTAGCGGTCCCCATTGCGGTAGAAACGTACCTTCTTGGCCTTCTCATTACTTAGTGCCTGCAAGGTTCTGGTTCTGTAGAAGCTACAGTGGGCACTGTGAGTGGGACTGGGGAGCCCATTCATCCGTGTCCCTCTCATATTCCTAGACGCTTTGTCTCTTTCGTCAAAATGTCCAAAATCAAGTTCCATATTTTGATGGAACTACAGCAACCTGATTGTTAGAGAAAGGGGTGGGGATAAAGAGAGGCACAGAATAAGGAAGGGAAAGAAAAGAAAAGAAAAGAAAAGAAAAGAAATTCAAATATTAGCCAGATCCCAAGCTGCAATCTGCTGCCTGTGAAAAGAACTGGTTGAAAAAAGCCTGTGACCCATCTGCTGCTTGTCCCTGACCTGCAGGAATATTGATCTTAATAGAGATGGAGGAGGGGGCTGGGCAGTAGGACTGGATGCTGGGGAGGAGGGATAGGAGCCAGTGATTAAAAAGGGTGGCACTTTTGGCACTGTTCCAAATTTGGGAGGGGGTGTTCAAATAGCTTAAAACCCTGTAACTTACTGACAGTGGCTCCTATCAAATTGTAACTTCGGGCAAAATACATTAAAACTGGCATCTGCTTCTTCACACATGGCCACATGACTAACAGTTGTAAATGAATCCCTAGCCTGACAAAATTCCCCTTGAAGAGAAACAAGGAGCTAGCCAAGGTTGGCACCCCAGCTTAGGGAACAGTCTTTGCATTGCAATACAATGGTTAGGAAAAGGGGTCTTTCAATTTTATTCCAAATCCTTTTTTCCCTCCTCTAATATGTGTATCCCCTCCCCCCAGAATAAACTAGGATTCTCTTTTAAAGGAACAGCCTCCAGGGAATACCCAGTGTCTTTGTGCTATTCATCAACCCCTCTCCCATCAAGCTGGTGCCGCTATACAGCATTCATAAGAAATAAGCTGGGGTTTGAAAAGGGGGAGGAGGATGTCGAAAAACCAGTTATTTAACAAGCTCTTAGCTCTGCTTTCCTCTTGTTTCTATTTGGTCACAGAATCCTTTTTCTCCTTTCAGGTGTTTCATCTCTCCCACCCCCACCCCGAGGCAGCGACACCTTTGAATGGAATAAATTAATTGTGGAAAGAGTCCCAAATGGGTCCCTCAATAGCATATGGGACCTTTACAGGCAAGTACACCTTTCATTGTTCTGGGTTTCTCCCTCGACTGAAGGAACATTTCACCCTCACAGCAGGCAATTCACTCCAAACTTGTCTACTACCTAGGTGTATTGATGGAGGCAGAAAAATTGGTTATCTGTCATGCTTTGATCTGATCTGATCTCCACCCCCCCAGCTGAATCCCTCCCCACGAGAAAAAAAAAACCCACCCAAACAATGAAAACATGCAACCAATTAATACGACCAAAGCCCTGAATGCTCACAAAGGTAATGTGACATCCAAGGAACCAAACTATTAACATTTGTCTCACAGATGGGAAAAAAGACTCACAAAGCAAGAGGATTCAGCTGCTACATAGTGTCACATCGAGATTTGCAAGGCAGCAGAGAGACAGGAGGTAAAGGGGGACTGGAGTCAGTGTATTTGCCAGACTCAGTCCCCCTTTTCTCCAGTGTCAGGATGACCTATGCTGAGCTCAGCATTGTCTCTGTCAGACAACCTGCAACAGGAAGACCCCACCTCCTCAAGACAAGTATCAAGCATTTCCCCCAGGCGGGCTGTGCAAATAAAGCTATTCTTTAGAATCAGAAGTGCTATTATTCCAAATTAGCATCATAGAGAAAACAAAGGAGCAACAAACTCACTTTTCCAAAGGAAAATCCCAGGTAGAATCCTAGAGGACAAAAACCCTATAGAATAACGCAAATGAAAGAGAAGAAGAAAGATCCAGACACACAGAGCAAGAGAGCTGTGTGCCTTGTGCTTTTCCCGTTTGACATCTGTTACATTCTGCTTGGAAATCACTCGAAAGCCCCACTCACCGGTTCTCTGCTGGTTGGTTGGAGATGCTGAGAGAAAGAAAACCAATCTCTCTATGCCTTTGTTGTCTGAGCTCCAAGCAAGAAATTCCTGCCAGGGTGGATAGTTGCCTTCTAGGTCCTAGTGCCTTGTCCAGCTTCTCCCCTGTAACTCAAGCTTAGTGAGCACCCCCAACCTCCTATGATTAATTACATGCTTTTTTTCCTTCAATTCACAGCCTGCATTAACAGCTAGAAAGGTTTCATTTATAACCCACAGGAAATTGCAGGGTAGGAAAAAAAAGATTGCACAGGCAAGCTCAGAATGCTCTAATGAGCGATGTGCTAGCCCTTTCTCTTAGAAAATTGGCAATTTTACTTGGCTAAAACCTTGCCTAATCTGCCTAGTGGCTGGTCTCAGCAAGCCAAACCAAGTTTCGTAGACATTGCAGCTCCCTTCCTTTTACCTTCTTCAAAGAAAATAAAATGTGTAAATTCTTTAACATTTGAGCTAGTGCATCCAACATTGGTTCTATAGGAAGTGAAGTAAGCAGGGATACTAAACAAACAGTACATGGGGAAACACTTCCAGAAATCATGAAAGCCAGAGTTGAAAGGTAGCACTCCCCTAAGCTTTCATTTGGTTGTTTTATCAAGGCAAAGTCCAGTTTTGTAGTCACGTAGCCCAGGCTGGCCTCTAATTTGATAAATTTTTTCTTCCTTGTTTCTGCTTCCTGGGTACTAGTATTTGTCAGTACTTAGGTCACAAAAGCCAGCATCACTCTAAAATCATTTTAGGCTGATGTAAAATATTGGTTAATGTTTCACCTTCCCACTCCTGGGCATATAACCAAAGGAGACTATAGCCTACCTTAGAGACTCTTACAAATCCGTGTTTGTTGCTGCTCTACACATGAAAGTCAGAAAATGGAAAAGCCCAGATGTTAGTTAACAGATGAGTAGATAATGAAAATGCAAGATATATGCACATGGGCAAAAAGAGAAATTGTGAGATTTTCAAGAAATTGAGTGGAATAGAAAATACTAGACCAGGAGAGGTATCCTAGGCTGAGAAAGACCAAAGGTTTTGTTTTCTATCATATAACTGTGTGTCTGCACGTCTATGTTTCTGTGTGCGTATGTCTGTGTGTTTGTGGGAATGAGTGAATGTGCGGGACAATTGTATATATTCTGTCGATTATGTTTTAAATAAACACTGATTGGCCAGTAGCCAGGATTGGTATAGGCGGAACAACCAGACAGGAAGTAGAGGTGGGTCAATGAGAACAGGAAAATTCTGGGAAGAAGGAAGTTCCCTCTGCAGTTGTGAGCCCACTATAGAAGAAGCAAGATGTGACCTAGCCAGCTGAAAAAGGTACTGAGTCATGTGGCTAACATAGACAAGAATAATGGGCTAATGTACGTTATACGAGGTAATACAAAGCCTGAGCTAATGGACCAATCAGTCTGAAGTTAATGTAGACCTCTGTGTGATTTCTTTGGGACTTAACGATTGTGGGAACCTGGCAGGACAGAAAACCTTGGTCAGCAAGTGTAAGTAGAGGTCTGTAAGAAGGGAAATGGGTTTTAAGAATGGAGGGCTGAAGTCTTTTTAATAGAGTGGAGTTCATCTGGTTCTACAAAACTATCCAAAAGCCCATGTCTGTGGAGAGCATAAGGCCTGGGGAGAAATCAATTATTGTTGTTTTGCTCAATATGTCCAAATTTGTCAAAGTACCTTCTAAATGTTTATGTTTTCACCTAATAGATTAAGATTAATTAAAGATTATGGCTGCTCTCAGTCATTATCAGAGAAATTTCTGTTTGCAGTTGTGAACGGTTAACGCAGAGATTCATTACTGGTCCTTGTGATAAGAGTAAGTGACTTTTGAGTGCTCAGCGCTGAGTGGGACATTTCTAGCATCCCTGCCAAGGTTCAGGAAACATCATTGAAGATGGGGCTGAAAGAGTGTAAGAGCTGGACTAAGCTGAGGAGTTTCTTCTGAACATGATACTCACGAAATCATAGTAGCTGTTGTTACTTGAAGAAGACCAGTACAAGATTAGGACCTACCTTAACATTACATTGCAGGTGGGGTAGGTGCTTAGGAAGACCTGCCATTCTCTGAGGAGTTATTGGCAATTAATTCATGGTTTCTGAGAGAAGAGGACTCAAACCATGCTCACAGTATGACACAAAGATATGCCATAAGAATATTGATCCTCCCTCAAAGTCTATATGAAGAAAAAGTTGAATAAGAACTTTTATGAAACCCCAAAAAGGTGTTAAACTTGTCATGATTGAATATAAAAATTTAAATATAGCTAAGATGAAAGAAAGGGGTTGATTATAAATCAAGATTTACCTTACCAAGATATGTTATACAGTTATGGAAATGACTATATAGTTAAAGCATTGGCTTGGAAAACAGATCTTTGGAACCCAAAGGGTTTCAATTGGACCTTGGTATAGGAAAGTTCAATGGTGAGAGCAAGGACTTTGCAGCCAGACTACCTTATTTCAAGTTCTGATTCTACTAATTGGGGGGGGTGTGACTTTGGGTGAGACTATTAAGAGGTGAGTACTTTGGTGACTTGATAAGGCCTTGAGTATACCCCTCACAAATGAGACTAAGCCCCCTGTTTCACTTATTTTGAGATAGGATTTTATTCTGTAACCCTGGCTGACCTGGAACTCACTATAATAGTCTAGGCTGCCCACAAAAATGTGATGGTTTTCCTGAACTACCACTCCTACCAGGAATTGATGCTCTTACAAAATACGTTCAAGGAAGCAACACAATCTTTTTTTACCCTTCCACCACATACACTGGTTCCTTGATCTTGAGCTTCCTTCTCATCATAACTATTGAAATGAATTTCTGGGATTTCTAAACTACCCATTCTGTTGTGTTTTGTGATGGTAACAATGACAGACTAAGCAATTGTCAAAGAGAAACTCACACGCATGTTGAAGAAAACAGCAACAACAATAGCCACTAAAATATTCTTTAAAGTCAGGTAGTGGTGGCACACACCTTTAATCCCTTCACTCAGGAGGCCGAGGAAGGTGGATCTCTGTGAGTCTGAGGCCAGCCTGGTCGACAAAAGCTAGTTCCAGGATGGGCACCAAAGCTACAGAGAAACCATGTCTCGAAAAAACCAAAAAAAAAAAAAATTCTTGAAAATGGTGAAATAATTAAAAACAACCCAAATACCTATCATTAGCACACTAATCTTATGACTTTTTCATATAACTTATGACAGTTCCAAAGATCTGTTTCCATAGACAACAAATAGACTTAAAGATGAGCTACATGTAAGTTGTAATATGGTGACGGTGCTTCTCAGCATTTATCCCAACCTCCTTTAAATTGTACCCTCATGAATTGCAGAGGTTTGAAAGATGAATAATGTGTTTGTCAAGAAACTTAGGTTTGTTCCATTATACACATTTGCATAACATGAAGAATGGGGAAGCAAAGTTAAGACTGTCTTGCTGGTGATTTGATTATTTGCCCTAGCAATGAAAGTCATAGATGGCTAGGATGTTGCTGCAGCAACATTGCAATATACAATTAACAACTTTCTAAATATCAAAGGCCATGGCTATAACAGCAATGGGGGGGTCTGATCCCCTTTCCCCAATCTCACCCCCACCCTTACCCCCACCCCCATGCTCACAACTTTTGCTCAGCGATCTTGTTTGCTTCCAATTTCCAGGAGGATCTATATATGTTTTTCTTTGGGTTCACCTTGTTATTTGGCTTCTCTAGGCTTGTCAACTATAGGCTTAATGTCCTTTGTTTATGGCTAGAGTCCACTAATCAGTTAGTACATACCATATTCATCTTTTTTGGGTCTGGGTTATCTCACTCAGGATAGTGTTTTCTGTTTCCATTCATTTGTATGCAAAATTCAAGATGTCATTGCTATTTTACCGCTGAGTAGTACTCTAATGTGTATATATTCCACACTTTCTTTATCCATTCTTCCATTGAGGAGCATCTAGGTTGTTTCCAGGTTCTGGCTATTACAAATAATGCTGCTATGACCAATCTCACTCATGAACATCAATGCAAAAATTCTCAATAAAATACTGGCAACTCGAATCCAAGAACACATCAAAAAACTATCCATTATGATCAAGTAGGCTTCATCCCAGAGATGCAGGGCTGGTTCAACATATGAAAATCTATCCATGTAATCCATCATATAAATAAACTGAAAGAAAAAAAACTTATGATCATTTCATTAAATGCTGAAAAAGTATTTGACAAAATTCAACACCCGTTTGTGATAAAGGTCTTGAAGAGGCTAGAGATTCAAGGATCATATCTAAATATAATAAAAGCAATATACAGTAAGCCAACAGCTAATATTACATTAAATGGAGAGAAACTAAAAACCATTCCACTAAAATCAGGAAAAAGACAAGACTGTCCACTCTCCTCTTTTTGTAAGTCTTCTTCCTAATCTTCTTCTTCTTCTTCCTCTACCTCTTCCCCCTCCTCTACTACTGTTACTATAGGTTTTGATGTAGCCTAGGCTGTCCTGCATCTTCCTATATATCAGAGACCGGTCATGAACTTCTGATCCTCCGACCCTGACCTCATAAGGTGATTGTGACAGAAGTGATCCTTAGCAACAGATCACTAAAGGTGTCTCTCTGGGATCTGGTATCTGACTACATGCGTTGAAGGCAAAATTTTGACATGGCATGTGGTTGTTTCATTGGTTTTATGATAGCTTAATGATCACACAACGTTTCTGATTATTTGGGAGAGATAATATGTGTAGGTCAAAGTTTCAAATTCTCAGCTAACTGCATAGTTTTATAATCTATTTTAGCCATAGAGGTCATAGCCTAAAGTCAGACTCAAGGTGG